ATACGCTCCACCGCGCCTACTACTAATGCCATCACTGCATTGATGCTTCACTTGTGTGTGCGAATAACCCGCAAAAAGCAATTTGCACCATTTTTCCACTGTAAATATATCATTCACACTCGGCTGCGCCTAACGTGCCACAATCGAGGCATACCCAAATGGAGCAGCATAATTTTTTCACACCAGCAAGTCAAATTAAACTTCAAATGCATGTAAATTGATACATACRCACGCATATGTAGCACTGACGCTACAAATAGGTGTGCGCACCACATTTAGTGGGTAAAATGGAAAAAAGTGAGGCATTCACATTTATAAATACGTTTTAGATTGCAGTTGCACACTTGAAATGCTTAACAGTTAGCGAGCGATTCGATTTCAAATAACTGGCTAACACTGCTTTGTGGGTGTGTGTGTGCGATTGAGTGTGTCRGCGGTGCATGGGTGTAATCAATTTTCACTCTGCATATTCGAGAAGCCATTTTCAGAAACACAGAGGCATGCATACGCACATACATACATGCGAATACATATACACACACATGCATCGATAGTGAAGCGCCTGCTACTTTTTGCAGCTACCAAGGCATTTCGTAGTCTCTTCGGCTGTCTAACTCTGCGCGCCTATTCACATATCGACGACATGCCGAAATGGTGTGTAGTAGAAATAGATAAAATAGGCGAGTGCCAGWGAATGTATATTTGTGTGTGTGTGTCTGAAATATGTTTGTGCTGGTGTTAGTCTACACAACGGCTGACAAATTCAATTCATTGCCCACTGGCGCTTGGTAAAGTGCACTTTTCACATCCATTTGCCGCACGAAATCAAATAATCCTTCAATTTCGCGTATACGCCAAGGCACACTCCTACTCAGTCCGACTCGCTCGCTCTCTTATATGCTTAGCGGACAGTTGTTTGTGATTTCGGCGTACTTCGTTTTTGTATTTTTCAACACAATCTGAAATTGTAATTTTGTTGTTGTTGTTGCTGTAGGTTGGTGAATTTGCCTAAAAAAGCAATGATTTATTCTCAAGCACTTCCGTCAGCAAATCAAYAGCGGCAAGTCGGTAGTGAAAAGGCTTTATAAAAGAGCGCCGACTCACTCACTTTTGCAGAGTCACTTTTGGAATATTCTTATATATATATATACATAAGCATGTATGTATATCTGTGTATATATATCTGTGTGAACATCCTTTATACCACCTTGGCAGTGAGCATTGAAGTGAGCTTCATTTTATCACCTGCTCAAGTTAAGCGTTCGRGGTTCGGTGTGAAGTGAATGAGTTGGGAGTGTTGTTGTGAAGTGGCTAAGTGCTGCGCTCAGTCGCAGCCTTTGAGCGACGGTGTGAATTGAGCTGCTGGCTTATTTGAATAATTTTCTTAAATATGCAAGCACATGCGAGTCAAGGACGCCGGCACTTGCCTTTCATAAAGATTCATTGTAGGCTGTGGCATTGAAATAAGTGTAGCTATGGACTTCCAATTGGTTCACTTGGACGCCGAGTTGTTAAGTCAAAGTGTGGCGCTTTGTATTGTGTGGTAGAAAGTGTGGCATCATCATAAATGGCTAGCAAATATGATTGACTTTCACGTTTCATATGTGGGTGGATGGAAACAGGTATTTAGAGTTTTTGTTGAAGTAGGCGCTAATGGACGCTTGTAGATTGAAAGGAAATGAATAGCGAGTAGACCAAGCAGAATGTTTGCACATTTGAATTGAAACTGTAGTTTTCTTTTTGGTAGCGACAACAGATATGCTTTTCACAGATCATCTTCCTGAGAGATTAAAAGAAGTAGCGAGGATATTCTCTCAAGACAATTCATTAAATTTTGGAAAAGGCATACGTAGGTTGAAAAAATATCAAAGAAGTGAAAAACAAAATCAAATTTATATTGACTTTATTTAAAAAAAAAAATAATTTCTAAGTTTCAGTTTCTTTTCTAATTTATATTGACTTTATTGGCAAAATGTATTTTGAGGCGACTTTGTTTCAATTTCTTTCACATAGTTTATCATAATGCCAGCTAGAAACTATAACACAAAGTTTCTGGAAGGTTTTTTTTATGAAGTTACACAAAATTAAATTCTTATAATTTTTTGTTTTTGAAAAAAAAAAAAAAAATTTTTCTTAGACGATCGATTTTCAACTTTTGTCACACAGTTTTTATTTCTCTTAGCCATAAATTATATTGCTGGGAGATTTTTTAAACATTTAGAATTAGTAGCATACMTTTTGGCGGTCTATCAAAGTATTCMATAGAAGGATGASTTCCGGTTTCTTCTACACAATTTTTTTYTTATGCGTTAAACATTTCCTCAAGTAGGTACTACAACTACTTTTAGACGTTGTTAAAATATATAAATATTCTCCATGTTTGGTAATAAAAAACACTTAGTCGAATATCGGGGAAGTACTAAAATTTTCGTACTTTATACTGACACATTTTAAATAATGCCTACATATAGGCGTTATTTATTTTTTATGTATATCTGAACTGTTGAAATTTTTGGGCAATACTTTTCTCGTAAAATATACCCGCATGTTGAGAACGTAGTGATTTTYGCCCCCTTTTATAATAATATTTGCTAAATATGGCCAACTTTTGGAGGTTATTGAAAAATTTAGTATACATTTCGGATTTCGGTGTTTATTTTAACTCGTAAAATTTTTAACAATTTTCCTGAATAAGCAGACGAATATTGAGATTGTATTAAACTTGCTAATTTTTACACTAACTTTTTATGAGTATTGCCTACTTTAAGGCGTTATTTAAAATTAAATTAACTTTTTGGTATGTATATCAACTGGTTGAAGTTTCGAATAACAATTTTCATGCAATAATCAGCCGCATTATGAGCATGTAATAAATTTTTTTCCAAATTTATATTAATATTTGTCAATTATTGCCTACTTTTTTTAAACAGTGCGTACTTTTTGGTGTATGACTTAACTATTTCAATTATTCAATTCTTGGATAACAATTTCCCTTTAGTAAGTTTGCTTACTTGTAAGCTATTTTCAAAATCTCTGGAGTCATCAGCTTTAAGCTACCCGTTATGTCTGAATACAAAGTTTTGATATGAAAATTATATATATTAAATTATATATATTATTAAATAAATAAGTGCCTAATATAATTTAGTAATCAAAATATTGACATTGCGTTTTTTCGGGTGTACATTGAAGTACGCTTCACACCAAATTTAAGTTCATTGACAAGCCTTTTTTTTGAATCTTAGAAAATGTCTAAGACTAGTAAGACGTTAAATATAAATTTTCTTAGATATTTATACTATTGTAACCTTGTTACTCTTTTTCCAGTGTTTAAGATAATAACATAATAGCTAGAAGGTAGAATAATCAGTACAAGATAAAAAGCCAGGTGTAGATATGTTTAACAACAACATTGTTCATAGAGACAGCATTGCTTTTTGTCGCCATTTGGCTAACATATTGGCCTTATAAACCAAAAGTCATATCAAAATTTATTAGGTAGAATATAGAATTTTTAAAATAAAAGTTTCATATAATCCAACAACAATTTTTTATAAAAAAATTTAAAAATGTATGATTTTATGGTTATGACAAGTTGTGAGTTGCCAAAATGAGAAGTCAAAGCACCAAATAACTGCGTGAAGAGTTAAAATTAGATGTACTTACTTTTCCACCACTCCACTGCTCCATATTTAACCACGTTAAGTTATCCAATTGCGTATCGTAATAACCCAGTTTTTCATATTTTCCATTCACCATTTGTTCGATCTGGGTTAAGGCAATACGATCACCTTGCGAGCTGAATGCAACAACGCCCTGTAAAATTATAAAAATATATATAAATATTTTTGAACTAAACGAGAAATTTGCTTTATTTTAGTTTTAATTTGAATAAAAAACAAGTAGAGAAGAGCTAAGTTTGGGTATAACCAAAAAATTCGCACTTTTGCAACTTGCAAGGGTTAAAGCAAAAAAAAAAAAAGTGTCTTCAGGGGTCAGTAGGGTAATCTTTTACAATTTTCTTTTTGTGGGTTTGCATTTTATGTTMCCTTATACCCTTAGAATTAATGTAGAAACTCACTTTACCATTGTAAGGATTCAAAAAGGACCCAAAAATAATAATACGACTCGACGTTGAAACAACGCATGTCATTCACCCAGCCATTTCTTCGACAGATGCGATCAAAAAATTTCGTAAAAACTTGTTCATACACTCCACGATATACTTCATGATATGTGAAAAAAGTTCCATTGTAGAATAAAAATTTCTACGAAATAAAAAATGTCAAAAAACAAACCAGATTACCCGACATAACGACTGTTATATATGTAGAGCCTAATCTCTCACTCTGTCTTATTAAAACAACTCACATATTGGCCTATATATTCCGTATAAAGTCACGCGGAAGTTGGAAAATCTTTCTTCTTGACTGTAAAGTTATTTAGTTTTTATATACCTATATATTGTTTGTCCCACTTAAGTGAATATAAATCAGTACTATGAGTCAATTTGCCTAAAAGCATGCTATAAATTTGCGACGCATTTGCAATTGCAAAAGTGAACGCATTTGTGTTCAACACCTATATTTTATGCGCCAAACAAACGCTCTACTTTATTTTCACAACTTTTTTTTGTTAATTTTAGTTACTGCAGCCTTTAGTCTGCACGATTTTCGCCCCTTTTTTAAGCTGGAAAATGCATTACCGTCATTATTTAGTTGTTAAAGTTACTTTTTATTTGAATATTCTAGTTAGTCGAAGCGGTTTTTTCTTTCTGGCAACTCTGCTTTACATTCCATGAAAGTGCAAATGGTGTTAGTTACTCAGGGTAAAAGCACTAACTGCAGCATGCAGTTACTCCGAGTGGCGGTTAGTCGAGAAAAAAGCACTTTTCCATTTAATGGTTGCCCTGTGCAGATGAAAYTAATGGCCAACACATATTTTACTCATATTGCTTCAAGGGGTGTACTCAAAAATGCATCTTTAAGTTTGCAAATTTGAAGAAAAGTAATAACAAGTTGACTTATACCGTTCCTTTGAGCACAAAATTCATTTTCGAAATTTTCATGTTTCATTTCAAAATTGAAAAGTTCTAAAGATTTGCCTAAAAGGCTTCGAAGTCAAATATATAAATAAAAATATTGAACATTTGACTTTTGATTATAGAAGCATCGACCTTTAATGTGTGAAATTGAAAAAAATGTGTTTATTTTTTTTGATGCGCCTAAATGCAGACCACCTTTAATTACTGTCTTAAAGAGCACATCCGGTATGAAAGTAAGGAGCAAAAACGATTTTTTTTTAGTTAGTTATAATAACAGATTTTTGTATAATATTGAAATTTTGAATCAATATCCGAAATAGCTCTCAAAAAAGTTTTCAAACAGGCCCTCTTAATCTACTTTCTAGTTTCTCAGTTTCGCTTAGCGTTCAGTTTCTTAGACCTTCAAAAATTATTTGTGTCTAGCCTTTATGCTCAACAAGTTCTTTGTTTTTTGGTTTGTGCCATTGCTAAAAAAATCGATAGAAAAAAAAATTGCATAATTTTAGGCGTCCAATTAAATTTACATATCAGGAGAAAATAACTGAATGTATTTTATTTAAATTTTGAATAAAAAAAAACATGAAAAATTAAACTTTCAATTAACTGCTGCCTACTTTTAGGATGATAGCAATATAAAAAATTTAAGGGTGTCAGTAGAATTGTTTATGACAAGTACGTACTTTTAGGCGCGAAACACTTGTTTTATGTCTGCGGGAAGATATTGAATGGAGTTTGGTACCAATTTGAAGATAATATGAAGATAAGATGAATAATATAAGCACATATATTTTAAATCAAATATTGTCTACTTTTAGGCACGAAAACTTAATTATTTTATTTGTGCGAGAAGACAATGAAGGAATCTTAGCCCACAGTTGATCATGAGAATGTTTTTTAAATATTTTAAATTAAACATTGCCTACTTTTAGGCGATTTTTTTAAAAATATCTTAATTATGTTTCCTAATCTTACTAAAGCGGTTTTGTGTAAAGTAAAACACGCAGTACAATCACATATGGTACGCTTCAATTCGCTTTCACAAAAAAAAAAAAAAAAAAAAAAAAAAAAAAAAAAAAAAAAAAAATAAAAAACAAAAAAAAAAAAAAAAAAAAAAAAAAACACTGCCTACTTTTAGGCCGTCTAGCTAAATTTTTTAACAAATTGCTGCACTCAACAACTCTAGCTGCTTGCATGAAAGCTAACTGCCGAAAATGGCTGCGCTGAAAAACACCTACTTTACAGCGCCCAAAAATAYGCAGCATTTTTAACGCAACACCGCATCTACCACAGCCACCCGGCTAACAACATCATGTAACCWCTAGACACAGCGGCAGGTTCCAACTACTTTAGTGCGTATCAAAAGCACCACACATACAAGCATGCTGGTGTTGTCAGCCGAAAAAAGAAGCTGCTTTCCTGCCATTCCCTAGCGAATTGATAGTCTCGCCCCTTTGGTGCTTTAATAAAAAAAGTAAAAATAAACGGATGACAGCAAAAAGCGCAGAGCGACATGTGCCATGCAACCGATCATGGGGTCCCGCAGGAGTGTTGGATATGCCAGTACGTTGCTTTAACAAGCAGGAAATGGCACAGTTATCATTTGTTGTTGCTTTTGCTATTGCTACTTAGTTAGCTGACTGTGTGCGGGACATTTGCTCGGCGTGGCAAGCGTGCAATTCACATGGGCGCAAAAAATGTTCTCACTTGTGTATTTACGCATTGCTGACTACTGACTGCTGATTGCCGGTTGCCGGGGCTTCATCAGCCGTTGTTGGCTGCTGCCACTTTTTGTATATTAACATACTGCGTCCATGCATTCACAGATCGCCGTATGTGTGTGTATGTGTTTGGTGGTACATTGCAGCGAATTTTGTTTTTGTGATTTCTCTTCAAAATAGCTGCAGTACTGGGTTTTTACCTAAAATGTGGCAAGCACTTTAATAAGAACGCAATTTACGGTAGATCTATGTTTGTATATGTAAGACCCAACTTTCGGTTTAAATGGTATGACGTCACGTAATTTTTAAGCAAATTTTTGTTTTTGGGTATTTATTTAATTAACTCGAACTAAACATGACCTATAACATTTTCTGAAACTCTATGGGATCGAATTAGAACCACGTCTACTGTATTTACGTACGATTGGATGTAATTTTCAACCTGAAATCGCTGTTGTTCATTTAAAATATACAAAACCAAGCTAGGGCTTATAAGGTGGGGCAACCTTAACATGGAAACGTGCGAGATCGAAACTTTTCAAGGCACTCGTTGCCAAATATCTGACACTCCGAACACATCGTTGATATTTTACTGAAAATATTAATTAATCTTATCGTAGTGGAGCTAAATGGACGAACTTTTGGACCGACTTGTTGTGTACGTTTGTTATTTTGTGCAATCCTTTAAACTCCGAGACTCCTAGGAGATGTTCCAGTGTCTGAACACTCTGCAAGTATGGTTATCACTTATGCCTTTCCGGTTTGTGATACCAGTAGGTTGTGTCTTGTCAAGGGGGCAAAAGATCTTTGACAGTCCTTTCGAGACCGTGTCTCCTGCACATGATCTGGGCGAATCTGCATGTACTTAAGACATTTCATCACGCGCTTTTGCCTTTCGCAAATTTCTTTGTAATATCGTCCTTAGTGTTTTCGGTGTTTCCTGTGCTTATTCGGTAGTCAGACGGATGAAACTTTAGGCAATCTCAGATGCTTCATACCCGGAACTCGTTGTTGGCCTGGAACCCAGTATATATGCAGTCGCTATCTGACAGCCGCTAAATCTACTGATTCTAAAGAGATTCTCTGACATAATGCGATATGAGATTATTACCTAAATTGCTGCCTGGCTATCGACGTATATGTTTATCCTTTTTATGTAATTTTCTGCGTTGTTAGTTATCTTGGCCGCTTTCCCAACTGCAAATACTTTGGCCTTGAAGATACTGCTGTAATCCGCAAGCTTGAAGGGTCGCCCGAGGTTCAGCTCGGAGCAGTAGATTCCGGCTTCCAATTCCACTCGCCATTTTGGATTTATCAGCTGTTTTTTTTAAGTTCCGATGATGTGTCACAGGCTTCTGCGCCATCCATTTGCCTTTAGTGTGACTTGGTACCTTCTCTCCCAAATAAAAACACATTTGTTCGCCTCCCGCTTATTGTGGTATGCCCGAAAGTCCTTCTAGCAAACTGACCTGTAGACGCCAATCTTGAAGCTGAATTTGCCGCAGATCTTTCAATTGCAATGTCGATCGGTGGTAGATTCAGCAATATTTTTATTGCCGTCGTTGGAGTGGTTTTTAGTGCTTAAGTTATGCAGAGAATAGCGAATTGCTGTACCCGTTCCATCGGTTTCATSTATGAAGATTTCTTCATAACGGTTCGCCACACCAGAGAATAATAATGTAAGATTGGCTTGACTAACGCCGTGTAACACCAATATATGTGGCGCGGTGTTAGGCTCCAAGTAGATCCAAGCATTTTCGTAAACACTGAGTTTCCACATCAGCTTGTTGTCCAGAATTACTGCCTGGTACTTGGTATGCTCCTTAATTGTTAATTCAACTCCGTTGTGTCTCGGGAGTTTCCATGGCGGTATTTTGTAACTCTTTGTAAAGAGCCCATATCCGTCCAATCAGTATATATTTTATTTTTTTTTTCAACTACTTTTCTTTTTAAATTTTTTCAATAAAATTACTTGCCTTTGTATTTATTTTTTCTGCTGTCACCTCTTTCATGGTACTTTCTTCATTCAATCGCACTTATTATTCCTGTCTTGT